TTCTAATTTTCTTAAAAGTACACCAACAGTACAAAACATTATACTACCGTAAGGTCTCGGTAAATAAGATTCAAATCTTACAGAATATCCAACAGATAGTCCTAAATCTTCGCATCTTTCTAAAGCAACTCGATCAGCTACAGATACAGCAGATATTCTTCTAGGTTGCGTAATAGCGATACTACAACATGCACCTTGACCTGATGCAATGTAGTCATCTAAAATAAACTGACATACTTGAGTTGTTTTACCACAACCTGTGTTTCCTCGAATAATAATTATAGGATTTTCATTGATAGCATTCATTATTTCATTCTTCATTGAAAAAACTGGTAAATGAGATCTTTCCTTAATACTTTTTTGAAGTCTCTCATCTTCTTGCAATCTTTCTCTTTGTTCATGTAATAAATCCTCTGACAGCTGTTCTAAAGACATTACGGCTAATGGTCCCTCGTCAATATTGCAACCAGTCCATGGATTCCAATTTTGTTGTGGAGGAGACCAACTTACTACTCCAGCTGGTTGTGGTGCTGATGAAATAAAATCATCTAACACTTGATTTGTTAATAATGAGTATGAAACATTAAATGAATCATTTTCTTCCGTTTTAAATGTCTATAATACAAATTAATATTATAAAAATCATAGCTTAATTTACTTAATAAAAATAATGTAGATTTGCAAGAGTAATGTTAGTATTAGTAAATAATATAAATCACCTGATATAGGTTCACTGGAATTGGTTTTATATCCAGACTGTTCAGAACATCATGTATCTGATTTATCAAATCTGGTGAAATTTTAACTGGATATGGTTTTATTTGTTCTGCTTCTTTATTTTTTTTCAAAGTTCCACTAAATGGCTCAATAACACCAAGATGATACAACTGTCGAACAAGAGACAAGGCACAACTTTTTGATGCAGTTTGCTTATTTGAACCAGTCTCACGACCAGTAATATCTGAAATTCATTTTTAAGAACTTTTTTGTTATAAATAGATATTGATTTAGATATCAATTATATATATTACTTTGAAAACATACTTCTTCCAAGTTGTCTTACATAAAATGTCATTTCAGCCATGAAACCCCTAAATATAAATTTATATTATTAATATTTTATGTATATTTATATTATGCTTAATAAATCTAACAAATAATTACAATGACATAAATTCAACTTACCATTTGAAAATATCCAAGACCATATTGGAGTACATTGTGATAAATTTCTGTGAGTTATTGCACCAAAACTATTATTGAATTATTTCAATAAAAGTTCCGGTTAAACAGCAGTTTCATCTGTGCACGAGAGAAAACATTTTTCTCTTGTACCAGCATTAAGTATAAGTAAATAGCGTACTCTAAAATGGTCTTATAGAATTTCAAATGCTATGGTAAGTCATTTATGTCATTTTCTTTATATCATCTTGAAACAGATCTTTGATACAATTGAAGATTTTAAGTGACATCACAATACCACATTGATAAGTCCAACCCAATGTAAAAGTAAACAGCTACATTGAGACAATCCATACCTCATATGATCTGGACCAAGTGGAGTATATTTGTAATCAGCATTAATTTTGTTAGTTTGCATAAATTGATGAAGTTTTGATTTAGCATTTTCTATAGTCCAATTCCCATGAATTCCAGAATTCACATCAACATCTTCTGCATCTTCAACTTTTTTCTGATCTGCTATTCTATCAATATAAGTATAATTGCTTTCACCGTGTTCATTATAAGCCCTATATGCTTGACCTATGTCATTTGGACCCATTCCATCTTGAAATACAGATTTTGTTGGATATACAGGCTCTGATTTAATAGTTGTTCCTTGTTGTAAAATGCTTTGTGTATCTTTTGGAACATCATCAGCATTTACATGTCCTGATCGAACTAAATAATTAACGTAATCTTTGGCTGCATTTCCTTGAGCATCTTTTTTGCTAGTTGAATTTCCTGCACCCACGTAATCAAATCCGGGTACTCGTAATTCACAAAGAAATCGTTGTCGGTGTTTCGGCCCTATAATATTATTAATAATATAACACGTCTTTATCCTTATATTATTTTGAAAATGGTATTATCGTACCTGTTGGTCTTACATCAAATTGTGGTTCTTTGCAATTTTTTGCGCACCACTGATGAAAGAAGGATTTTATGTCACCCATTTTGGCTGTACTTTACTTTAGGGGACATAAAATTATTGACTTTCTATATATAATGATAGAATTTAGCTTTAGGAATCTTAAGGTTCGAAACTTCTGCGTATGTAAAATTGAGCGCTTTTAGCGTCTTTTACACGTTATTATGAACTGTTCACATTCAGTACTTTACTTTTACGCCATATTGGCTTCTATCCATTATTTGTCCAATAAGTGAAGCCGCTGGTTACAAAATGAACACATTTGGATGTCAGCCATTTTGTGGCGGGATTTTGAATCAGGACTATGGAATTAGATCTGTTTTAGGTTATCATTTTCTCTTCAGCGCGCCATGACGCGGTCGGTTGTGCTAGAGCTAGTACATATGTATAAACTAATTTTCGGCGAAGTTCAGTTCAATGATGATCTGTGTAGACATGGTGCAGACCATTGTGACGCGTGTTGCGGATCAGTTAAATGACAGATAAAAGCAATATGACGTCATACTAATTTGTAAAATACACTAAAAATATATATAGAGAAGAAATAATTTTAAACGTTGAAACGACTAGCTGTTCTTTTGAATTCATGTTCTACACAACGCTACTTACCTGTCTGACTGTAGCTAAATACATACATACTACCTACTATCAATTACTATTTATGTACGTTGTTTGCTTACACCAGATTATAATTTACAGTATAGTTTGCAATTAGCGACTCCACTTATTGATCAGAATCATGTAATAATAAATTTCGCAGTTACATATAGCAATACATTTTTAATATGTATAGGGAAATTGTATTAAGCATCATATTTTCATGTTAGGTTATGTTTCCTTGTAAGCATTGTATATATATGTATGTATAAGAAGCATTCAATGAAAAGCATTATATATATAATTTAAAAATATAACAAATTTCATATAAAAATGAATAACACATGAAGACCCAACAATTGTAGAAAGTGCTGTATCATAGCTCTCCTCTCCTATCCTAGTTGAAACACCTATCGTGTGAAAGATTGTGTAGATTCTTCACAAAATATAAGAAAATCAAACTTTAGAAAGTAGTTAACAATTTCATATGATTAAAATATTAAATGATATCAGCATGTTTTAGAATATGACTGGAAGGAATTTCCTATCATGTTTTATCAGAGACATATAAGAATTCTGATTTTTGAGCAAAAAATTTTGGACTAGTAGTGACTAGAAACGGATTAGAAACATTCCTTTTGAAGATGATCAAAGTGGTAAATTAGAAGAAAATAAGTTTATTGAAAATATCTTCATATATAATATTTTTAGAAGAATATACACATTAAATATAGATTCATGTGAAATTTAAGATATAAAGTATAATTTTTCTTGTACAATATAAAATGATTCATTAAAATATTTAATAATTTTTAATATTATTGACAATTTAAATATATACTTATGTTACAGGTTGAATGTATCATAATGCAGTTTATAGCAGATGGTATGGAAGAAAATTTAATAAAATGCTTAGTATTAAGATATACATATAGAAGATTTTCATTTATGATTAGAAAAAGAAAGTCTTAGGCAACATGGTATTAATAGAACAGGAATGTTAATACCTAATGGCAATTTCTGTCTATTTGAAGATTGGATTATGCTTACATTAGATACAATGTTGGCTGAACAGGAAGAGAAGGTATGATTTAATAAAAGAGAGCTGAACATTTTTACACATTTTAAAAAAATAAGCATTTAAATATTTATGAACTTTTAGGATATGATTTGAACACCATCTAAAGTAATAGCAAGACTAGGTGTAGAAATTAATAACGAAGATTTAATACATTATGGTGCTGAAAAAAATAATTTAATTCTGGTGTTCAGCCCCACTTTGTCAGATGGCAATCTTCACTTCTATAGGAATCCAGGTTTAATTATAGACATAATCTCAGATTTGAACTTGTAAAATAAAGTTTAGAATTTATATATATAATATAATTTATTTATTAAATAAATATAGATTTTATAAATATTGCAAACAAGAAATATAACAAATATATAATACAATGATATTAAATATATTGTATGTTACTTATTGTATATTATGTTGATTACTTCACAAATCTTAGGCAATTAAATACAATGACTGTGAAAGCAATAAACAGTGGCATGATTATCATCGGAGGTAGTGTTGTTAAAATATTATCATATATGAAATGCAAATTTCAAGGTAATAAAGAATGTGTAAATAGAAATAAATTTGATAACAAATTGAATTAAAATAATTTATATACCAGAGAAATGATGCTAAATATGGTGTATTTATAAATACATCTTCAAAATTTGGTGGTAGTGATAGTGGTGCTTATTCAGATGAAGCTATTTCATGGAACAAGGGTTTGAATGAATGTAAAACCAGTTAAAGTAACAATATTTAAGATTTGTGCAGATGCATCTCTGATTTTTCCATTGCTCGTTGGAGAAACTTTTGCTCGACATTATTACTCGACAAGAGAAAAGATTGTTTCAGACATTTAAGAAAAACCTAGTAAACCATTTTTAAATGAAACTAACCGCATTTCTATCGTCTCTTCAATATACATATGTATATGTATGTTTTTATGTTTTTGTAATACTTTATAACTTAGTAAGTTCTGTATGATGTTAAAATATCAAACAAACATTTTTTTATTAAAAACTTAGATTATAAACGAACCGTTATATGTGTGTTTTTTTTTTAATTCTTATTATTTTGTTAATTTTATAAAAATTCAAGAATTCTTTGACGGCGCGGCGCCTGCGCAATGATAGTGTTCCTACGCGGCAGGTGTCCGTGGCGCAGGGTTGCAGGCGTCGGATAGTGGTTGTTCACGGTGGGGGTAACATCGTTTGTCAGTTGTTTTCCGTAAGTCCGCGCTCGTGGACGGGCGCATGAAACCAACCCCCAACCCCTTTGTCAAGTTCCCCGACTTTATGGTTTCTGCCCCCGTGAGATCAAACGTTCAGAGACTGGCGGGCCCGACAAAAATTTTCACCTTCCGTACGATATCCCTTCTGATTCCAATCTCGTCGATCTCGTTAACATAATACCCTGTTAATTTCCAACGTTCGCATTGATCCGTCATTGTCGGTATGAATGATGATGGACGTGGAAGAAACCAATACCGCGTCCACTGCAAGTTCCTCACCAAGACCCTCCAGCCCTGCGGCAGATTCGACTTTCATCAGGTAAGGATTCAGAGTTTTATGTTTCTTAAGGTTAGGCTGCACACTATTTGAACGATCGCATACCAATACAGGACTATACATATATAACAACTATTTCAGAGTTGTTCAACAGTTGTTACTGAATACAAAAACTATTTTTACAATTTCTTTAATATGAAATACTGTTTCGTTCATTGTATAAAGCGTATAATGTATATTACGTTATTTGTTGGTCTATTTGAAATAAACTTCGAGGAAGATATACATATATACATGTACATAGGTTTAAAAATAAGAGTGTTGGTACAACTGAGAATTTGAAATAATAAACGATACAAGTAATGAAAAAATAAAAAGTAATATTTCAGTGGAAACTAGGTATCAATTTCGACTAATATTTCTTGTTTATTCTTTAAATTTCTATTTCTAACGTCTATATCGTTTACCATTTCAATTCCTCAATTATATCGGGAAGCGTTCATCATAATGGCGGCAATATCTATTTGTAAGAATCGGATTAATATTTATACTTTGATGAATTTTATTATTATTCAGAACAGACTGTGTGCATTACTTAGTGTATAAGAAGATAACGCTTTGTGCATCATGAAAGATTTTTGCTTCTGAAGTCGTTACGTTTTTCCTATTATACAGTCGCGTAACGTGACAAAGCGGGCGAAACTTTTTGAATGTGTGCATGATCTTCTAAAGTGCTCCCTTGGGAAAGATGATAGAGTCGTGTTTTGTTATCGTGTTCATGTTTTTGGAACTGAATGCAATTGTACAGGTATCATTTAATAATGCAAACTTTAAGAGCATCACGTCTCGTCCCCAGCATTCAGCCTTGTTTTCTTATCCAGCCGGTTTAAAAATGTAAACGACCAGGACCTGCTGACTGATTTTTTTCTGAATTACCGAATCGTATTTACGTTCACGATATTCTATATATGAATTTTTACTACTATAAACGAAGAAAACTTCTATGGTTTCCTTGTTTGCAGCATAACTTATTTGACATAGTCTTTATCATTATCCTGCTATATAATAACCTAACCTTCAATTGGTATCATTCTATAAACTTAACCTTCAATTGATATCGTTGGTATCATTCAATTGGTATCAATGTGTTAACTATGTATATCATTACATGATATATGATATACCTACATAGTTAAGTTACTTAATTTTAGAATACCTTATCTTAATTCGAATTTTCCATTTTACACGATAAAATCCATGTACGACATTTATCGTGTAAGATGCAGAATTCGAATTCGAATTGAGGTTATTAAAATTAAGTAACCCTATAACGAAATCTAACGCTAACTATACTGTTGTGGTCATTTATAACTAACTGACAGTGAGAATTCAATTTGATCGTAGGATAGTTTATAATTGTGATGACTTTATAGCGTGTCATTTTAGCTATTTTCTCGTTGCGTCATGAAATTATTTTTTTATTATAAACTCTAAACTTCGTTGTTGAGAAACGATATTCATTTTACGAACTTAAAATTTAATCAATACTTGCATATTTGACATTTGAATAAAAATTTACATATTTGAATTTATTTATAACCGATATTTCCTTATTTAGAGAATATATATGTACAGTTAGTCTATATGTTATATAGTATATACGTTATATAGTATATTAATTTCATATATTATAAAATTTAATTATTTATCAAATTTATTTATAAAATATGTTTTCCAATATTTCGAATCAACGTAGTTCAATTTAACGAGCTTCTCTTTCGTTGTTTTCTTTCCATCGTGAAATTAATTGCCGTTCATTTATTCATAAAATTAATCGTTGTTATTACGCGTTTGCAAAATAACCAGTTTTGACGAGATGCGAGTTATAGGAGAAAAGCTTCGCGGAAATGAACGTTCCATTTAATTTTAAATACGTTTTTTGCAGCGGCTGGCAAGTCGATTTCCTCGTCTTTTAGTCATTGTTTTTAAAAACGCAAATGCCGGGGAAGGTCTCTGCAAGCGTTAAACCTTGTTCGTGGTTTACAGTGCGTGAATAAAGAAATTTAATTGAATACATTGTGCCCCTCGGAACGAAAGAGAGATCGGGCAAGCGAGTTTCGAAATAAAAATTACGCGTTCCTTATCGTTCCAACGTTTCTGTGGCACAACCGGGGGAAACGGAAGTCGAAACGTTCGTTACAATGTGTTAATACTTCTTCGCGACTGGATCAATGAGCGCATGAACGTTGTTCATTATTTTTTCACGCGCAATATCCACGTTCTGCGTGTTCATTACTTAGTTGTCATTATTCGCCATTTCTCTTTATAATAATAACCGTGTCATATGAACGGACAGGAAAAATGTTTCATTGAAGCTAGTACTCAATTCCTGTTATTTTTTCGTTATTTTTATACACTATCGAGCTTGGTCTGCTCAATATATACCACCCAAAAGTTGATGTTCAGTGTTATTATATTATACGTATAACGTAGGATTATCGCTACAAGCATTAGCTTATTAGCAATTATTTAACATTATATATGCATCATTCGAAAATCCAGAATCAATATATTAGTGTTAGTTGTATTATTTAGTTTAGTTAGTATTATTTAGTATTATTTAGTTAGTTAGTCATTGGATTACTTAAAAAAAAAAAAAAAATAGCAAAATTTTCTTTTCACACTTTTCCATACTCCATATATTCCTATACGTAATGTATCGAATATTGAAGAAGAAAATATTCTACGAGCATCATGCAAACAACATATACACGCATGAGCTAATTATAAAAGCATAGACTTCCTCGTGTAGCGATATTCATTTCCGGGATATCTTTTCTGAATTACCAACCTGCTTCTGAAGCTTCCACTTCTTCGCATTCTTTTATTTTTCGCTATACGAAAACCATTTACATATCTTTTTGTGCCATCTACGCTCGCTCATCATACAATCCTTATTTCAAAATGAAAGTTCTCTCCGACCAAGTCGAGTGTGTTTACGGTGTTGCTAACTTCTTTTTTTCCTTACGCGCATACTTTCGGCACAAATAATTACCGTTAACTATGCATCTAAGCGGAGAACTTACGAGAGATTCTTTATTTTTACACTTTCTCGTTTGCCAAGTGCAGTAACTGTTCATTATGCGCTTTTGTTATGATTTACTCGCTGAAATCATTCATACACGATGCTCTGCTTATTCTCGCGCTCCTTAATTCCACACACACGGACACACAAAAAAAAAAGGAAAAAAAGAAAAAAGAACAAAACTGTATAGCAAGGTTTTACAATGGATCTTCGGTTAGAAATTTATTTAAAAATTTCTGCTAGTTGGAACAAAATTAAATTTGTAATTTATAAATCGTGATTTATAATTTATAAAACGTGATAAATTCGTATTTCTTGATTTTAACTTAGTCATTTCTTGGGTTTAAAGATATTCTAAAAACAGGTGATATATCCACCTAAACTAACCGGCTATTTTGTAACCGGCTAAGAACATATCTGATACTTAAAGCGTTGAAAGTTCAGCATAGTACGTCCTTTCGGAGTTCATTCATTTCAGATTACGCACACGATACAGACGGGAACAATACGATAATTTTTTCGCAGCGAAGCAGTTTGGCAATTCAATATGTTGTTAATCAATCCTACGTTACCAAACTTGTACTTCCTTTGTCTTTTTTTTTTCAAGAGTTAACCACGTGTTCTCTCATTCTCTTTAAAATTTGCAACAGATCGTTCGTCATAAGATTAAAATACAATTAACTTGTACCAAATTTCGCGAACTTATCGGCTAACTTTAAAAAATTTACATCTTTGGAACTAACAGGTTTCTTTTCGTTTTCAATGATGTCGTATCAAGACTATCCTGTTCGGTTCTGTAAAGTGATATCAAATTGAAAAATCAACAGAAATGTACTGTTACGTTTGCCTCCTGCGATTCCCATACGATTAATAGCGTGTTGGATCTTAAAATTAACTACCGCGCTCATATCCTACGATCTTCGTACAGAATACAGAAAAGATGTCTTAGATAAATTATTTAAAAAAGCTACTGTAGGGCGTGTAACTCGCAGTATAATCCTTCGATTGAATTCGGTAGTTTTAGAATATTTCCGCGACGTCGTACAATAATTGATATTGTTTATCTTTTGTCACGGACAAGGGTATTGTTACGAACGATTGTTATAAAAGATCAATGTTCTTCCGGTTTTAATTCGAACTGACGCACCGGAATAAGATGATAACAAAATCAACTTCAAACATGGTCGGATGGTATTAAAAATCGATTTAGAATGACATTATGGAATGGAGAGCATTAATTCTGCATAATGGAAAATTAAGTACGAAAAGCATAGCTAACCGCCATTACGTATAATGTTGTTTATTCTACTTGTTTCAAAGTAACTTCCAAACAAATACAACGATGCTGTTTTTCCGCTAAATTAGAAATAAGAGCCCTACTCGTTCGCAATGGTAGTTGCTTTTTTTAGGATGAATTACGCTCTTTGTCGCTTTGATATCCGTATCAGTTACCTATAGAGTCTGATATCTTTGACCAGCAATCAAATCTTTATGAAGATCTCATTACTCTTATTTGCGCGTATATTTAAATTTGGTAACTCGATGATGTTTAAACTTATGAAGATAATATCTGAGCTATTAATTACTTTTTCATTCTTCCTTCTTATGATATCCTCTTGCATACTCGCTTACCACTTGCTAATCGTGAAAATTTAATCGTGTCGTAAATGTTCTATGTTTTATAATTATTATTTCAGTATCGAAAATGGAATCTTGCTTGCAAGTGTAATAAAGCTTTCACGCGGTATCCGTTTTCAATATTTCTACGATGATCGATGTTATGTCCCAATCTTCTTGTTACTTTCCAAGGAGATTCTATTTTTGCCAAAGCTTCTATCGACTTTTCTTTGTCCAAACATTCTACTTCGTCTGTTAAATCCGCTTTAAATACGCTATATAGTTGATAAAACGTCTTAGTACATGCATCGTCTGCTTTCCTTCGCACATTCGTTCCTGTCTTGTTACTCGGTAATTACCTCGTATATTCAACATTCAAAATTATTCGATGAAAGATTCGCAACGTGTATGTTCCAACTTCAAAAGCAACCACGGCAAAGATACCCGATACCTCTACGAATATTTCAATAGTTTATTCTCGAATACTCGATTAATTAATTAAAAATCGCTTAAATAATTTCCAATCCCGATCTTTTATATTTCATATCTTCGATCGCTGGTCGCATTCGCGGTTCGGATCACGCGTGATTGACCACCTTTTAGGTACAGATATTTTCGGCCGACCCACTTCGTTTCACTCGAACTCGGCGAGTAATTATTATCGACGACACTCGGAATAGTGGTGTAGCACCTACACCAATGTAGCGTATGGTTTCTGTCATCATCGTCGCGGCTCAAAGCGGTCGCGGGCTATTGGTCGCCGCTCGATAACACGTACTCTTCGGCTTCCGAAATAGGAGATCTATTCATAGAGGAGAAGCGGCTTCCCCTTTCCAAACGCCTCTCCGGGGGTGTCGATCCATCCTCTTAGATCTATCGGTTATTGATGATCTCGGGATCCTCTTTGAAGGAGCATCAAAGACGTTGGCGGGGAAAATATTTGCGCGAAGAGTTTTCCAACCTGTCGAATCGCGACGAGTCGGTGTCGGTGCCTCGCGGAACATGACAGCTGACCGTATTAGCTTCCGATATAATTTCTTATCGTGTCCGTTTACGTTGTATCGTTGTTGCAATCGCGGATGGCAAAATCCTATCAAACTTTAATACGATCCAGCCATGTAAGTTTTCTGGGTTAACGAAAAATGAAACGTTTAACCGGTTGACAGAAGATTTTATTAATCGTTGCATCTTTGGTTGGTGTAGGATCGATGGAGCTCGTGTTTGTGTGAAATTAGAGAATATAGAGATGTAACAGTCACGCTTGAAAATAGATGGGCGTGAAAAGTTTTCATTTCTCACGCTTTATCTTGTTGTAGCGTGCAATTGGCTTTCTAGCGTTATTTAGCGTTACAATCGAAGCGAAAGCTATTTTCGACATGTATCGTATCGTGAAAGAGCAGCAATTAAATGTAACTGTACGCTAATTAGACGAGCATTCGTACGTTATATATGCATGTTATATTTAGATTTACATCAAGCTCCCTGGGGCTGTCCTTATCATTTCTCAATCGTCATCTTGTGTCTATTTCACCAACAGTGAAGGGAGGTCAAAATAATTGCGATATATCCTATATAAACAGATATTAAACAGGGTATCATCGGCTAGGAAGAAGCAACGATAATAACCAACGTTCTCTATATTATTCAAACATGTTCAAACATATACCGAAAAATGTAAGATGTACGTGTAATTAATGGATCGTATCCCGTGCCATTTTTATTTTCCAATTCGCTTTTCGTATTTGCATATTTTTTCTTTTCAACGATTGACTCGATGTCAGTCTTTATCATAGTAGTAAGGTTCTTTCATTTGGTTAACGTAATAGAATCTTTCGTATTAGCGAGTTTCCAATAGTTTTCTGTATCGGAGATTCACAGCATAAGTATTTTTTCTACTTAAATATGCAAACGTCACGCATTCGTCCACATTTAAGATATAGCGAACTCACGAAACGTATCAATACCCCTAATATCGTCACGCGATGAATCGCATTTTCATTTTCTACAAGAAAACAATTTTGAAATTCTGACACGCTATCAACCAATCCCAACATTGTCTTCTTACTTGGTTTTAGAACTAAGCACGTATTTTCGTTGATCTCTTGAACGTTTTCAAGTTGAGCATTTCATCGTTGTAACGTTAATTTTACAATGCCGTACGATATTCTATAAATATTACTGGTTTTTTCTTTACAAAACTTCATCTAGATTTACGTTCGATCATTCCTATTTCAATTATCTCGTAATTAGAATACCTTACCTTTAGTTACGAACAGACTTCGTGGTTCTTTAAAAATCGCTGACAATTACGCGATATTTCTCTTACAACGACTATCGTTCCGATCCGTGCAATTGGCCCCTGTGGACCCATCCATCTTCGATTTTTTCCCCTGCTGGTCCATTTTCATTTCGGCTGGCTTAAGGGAAACGCACGTTCGCCGCGCAAATTGAACTAAAAACTAGGTCAATCCTGATTGCTCGGATGGAGTCAGGGCCATAGTCAAAGAACCACCCCTCTGCGCGCAAACACAATCTCGTGTGTACGATAAGGAAGAAGCGAATTCGCGAACAGAACGACCCGGAGAGGAACCTAAACGACCCTGTTCCTAGCACTTTCTTTCTCTGTTTCGCGTCGATCTTGGACTACTTTCGGCCGATTTCATCCCTTCTATCCGTTCTCTACACCCTGTTCGATTGAATACATAATAGATGTTTCCATTTCAGCGTGAAGAGGGAGCCGAGCACGGAAGAGCCCAGCAGCCCTCTCGAGGCAACGAGTCCTGCTTCCATCCTGCGCAACAACAACGGTGAGTCTTTATTATAAATGATCTTGAGGCCTCGCTGGTCCAATTTAAGCCACCGGTTATTTCTCCGCGAGCACGCGAAGCTGGTCTCGCTAAATGAACGCTGACTTGCGGCGAACTTATTGTGACCGGTGAAAAGGGGAAGCTTCGTCTTTTGTTAGCATTTTTTAAAGTGAGTTTCTTTAGAGAGAGGAGGAAATTATTTAAAACGCGTTTATCGCGTTATTGCTCGTGGTCTTGATGAAACGGGATGCTTTTTAGCTTAAGGCCAGAAATAAGAAACTTTGGAAGTTTGCCTTATAAGTCAGTGAGCGCGTATACGAGAAAGAAAGATATTTCAGCTTCTCAGAGGACAAATCGATCAATTCCACTTTTTGCTTGAATTTCTTAGTTTCATCGAGCGGCTAATCTTTGGCTCTCAAAAAGCAGACCACTTGTTTCTACGAGTTCGTTTATTGCAGAAGGATGTAACGAGTGATGGTGTATTCTGAGATGAATTCAAAAAACAGTATTAGCAAAATCATCGGTTTTCCGTACTTTTCGATGTACGAAGTTGACGAGTGCAGATTGCGGCTGAGGTAATTTTGGCATAATTTCCATTCTTAGAACGAGTTACCTTGATCAAAATTTCTATCGGAACACGCGGCACATTTCTGCTTGGAATTCTTCCGATATTATATCAGCTTTTGGAACTCGCGAGCTAATTAACGACATTCGTATAACGTCTAGTTGCTCCATAAGACGCTTGTAGAACAGGATTCCTCGACCGAAGTTAATTCAGCCGCGTCGAGAACAAAAATCGCATGCTCGGTTTCGTTTTGCCTGGAACGCGAGGAATCGGCACTGGTTTTAGCTTTTGATAAACTTGTCGCCTGCCACGGACCAACGTATACGAGATCGAACGAGAAAGAACGGCGGTAACAGGGAATTAGTCGATCGTTGGCGAGTTAATCGACGAGACGATCGATAAAACGCGATCCTCCGTAGTGGCAGCCCGTCAGCTAATAACGCTCGCCAATTGCAAAGTGCAATTTTGATTTATCGTTCGGCCTACTCGAAACCGGGGCTCGTGATAGGACAACGACGAATTAATAACCGGCCGCGTATTTGAGCGGACCGGGCTAACAAGTGTACTCAAAGCTCGTTCATCCGTGCTTGACACGTACGTGTCTGATACGAGCTGGTCGACCCACGACCCAGTTTTATCGTCGAAGGCAGTTTGGTCCTCGGCCGACAGTTTTAAAGCCGATGTTAATCTAAATCCAATCGCAGCCTCTGTCCTTCCATGTACCCGCGATAATCTTTGTCGCGGCGTTAAGAGGGGTGAAATGGGGGTAAAGAATGAGAACCGCTGACCGAACCGGTGTGGGATGAGATTCCAGCTGTAGCCGGCGTTGGATCGATTCAAAAGCGGCAGCAAAGCGCCCCACCCTATTATGTGTTTTCTTCAACCTCCCCATTCCTCTCTCTTACCTCCTCCACCTACCTCTTCTGCCATCCTAGCTACGCTACTTCTCGCGTTAAACCCCCAAACTCTATCCGCTCACCGTTTCAACTCCCTCGTACCGACACGTAGCCTTCCTCCGGAGCTTTCTTCCCACTCCTTGCATTCACCTGCACCTCGCCACCCCTTTCTTTATCCTTCCTTTTATGCCGGAACGGTTTACGCCGAGCCGGAAGATGCCGGCGACCGGAAGTTCCGCTCTCGCCGTTTCGCCCCGCGATAATTGAATCGCCGCATTTTTTTTTTTTCTTCTTCTCTCGCAGGACTGCCCTTTGCCACGCCAGCTTCAGCAAACTATCCTCTCTACAGATTTCCACTTGACAATGAAACATCGTTCGTTCGAGGAATCGTCCTTGGCGAACGGAAATGCAGGCCGAAAATTTACGATTGCGATTATGGGAATTTTAATCCGACGTCCTTATTTGCGGTAAAGGAGATATTGCGTGTATGTATATGTAAATAATGAAGGTATGATAGGAAGGTATGATAGGAAGGTATGATAAATGCAATTTTCTTCGCTTTGATGGTACTTGACGGTTAAAGGAGCGTACTTTAATGTAACATGGTTAAAAAGATAGTCAACCTGTTCGATTGAAAGGCGTAAGGCTTTTAGCGGTAGATGACAGGTGCACTTTTGTGCAAAGAAATTTCGTGGAAGAAATGAACGAGTTAAGATTAAGATACCTAATATTTTCGAAACCGGTATCTTCGATGTAAATATTTCTCAAGAGAGCTGCATCGAAATTTAACGAAGAGACAGTTTTGGAGATGCACGAACGATTGACGAGGTATTGGATTTTTAAATTGTCTTCAATGTTCCATGAGTTGAACTACTTTTCTCAAATTTATCGCAGAATTTTTACCATTATTCGTGTTTCGTTCACCTTCTTGCGACGAACGAGCTCGTGAAATTAAATCGTGAAAATGAAAATTGTGCGTTAACGGTATATTTGCGCGATGAAATTAAGGAATCGGTACAAGATAGAGTAGGATCAATTTGATTTCTAAGAGGATCAAACAAACGTGTGTTGTCATACCTTATCTTTGCGATCCTCGAGTGTTTAGAGAGTTATTTTGGAATCTAAGTGTTCGTGTCTGGATAACCTGGGATTCTATATTGAGAAAAGCGGCCATCGAATTTCGTTTACGTTTTTGCGATCGTTCGGCAATAGTTATCCCACCTCTAGTCGTTGCGAGAGATTTGCGGTGAATTTATTTTCGGTTCGCGCACACAGTACGACAGGGTAATTGAATATGAATAAAATAGATTTAGCGAGCTAGCCGGATGTGCCGTTGCATTACCGTGCCTTCGGTGGTCGTCGTGAGAATGCAGGCACCGTATCCGGGAAATAAATGTTGTGCCCGGGTAAAAACAGTCGAAGTATAAAAAGCGTCGCGTTTTTCAGTCGCGAGCTCTTTCTCTTTTCCGAAGATAGCCGTTTGCCAAAATGAAACGAACGAACTTTTATAGAGATCTGGTATCGACTGATTGTGTTTTCAAATTTATTTATGCGTTCGCTTCGTCAATGTAAGCCGCATCGAAGTTACGAACAAAACTTTCGTTACACGCTTCGACCTTTGGAAAACGTGTTTCCAAAATATATCGATGCTATACTAACTATAGCTACTATACTAACTATACTTATCCTCGACCTATGTATGCTACTGATAAGTACGGAAATAATCCGTGCCGTTCGATCTTTCACACCTGACTAATCTAATTTATCGTACGCCGGTAAATATCGCGCAATAATTGTTTCTATCTCTTTCAGCAAAAATATGCTCTTTAGCTTCGCGTAGACACCTGTACTATGCCTTATACTCTGACGTTTGTCGTGGCTGATAAAAAACATTCATATACTCCGCATCCACTTACGTTCGTTTAATCCGATACCGTTTACGCGAAGATGGCCTTCCGTATGAACCGTATCCGTAAAAATACTTATCGAGATTCCTCTATATAAAGCTGACGAGGAATGTTTCAGGCAGTTCGATTGCTCGATCCGTTGCAATGCAATAGTTCGATCGCGAGTAGCAGCAGCTCGCGTAATGTAACGTAAGTACAGCCCGAACCGATCTGTATATATACACGCGCGGATGTAACCGGTTTCCCAGGTTCATTACACCGAGTTGCGCATCTCCTTTCCCGACAAGTGTGCGGCCGTGTGGTCACCGGCAGTCGACAGACTTACTTACACGGGGACTTCATCCCTTTTTCGTAAATGCTGTCGGTCGTCGTTCAACCGGCGGCCATTTTCTTGGATGCAGGATCGCGGGTTCGATCAGGAAACGCACGATGATCGTCGCGTAGCCAGGCAATGAGAAGATAAGTCATCGAACCGATCATCGCCTAACTCGATCGTTCGCATCGATATGCCAGCGTTTCCACGTTGGACAAACACGATAACATCGATCTACTGGCCGTATCGTAGATCGATCGATCTCTAAAGTCAATCGGTTGCAAAACGCGGACGCAACGAGCGACAAGGAGACGCGTATGCGAAAACTTTTGCCTCGTATCGCGAGTAAACGCGCATCTCTCTCATAGTCTTACGATTTGACCGATGATAATAGAGTTCGCGGTGTCGAGGGTGCGCTGCTGTCTTCGATCTATTATTTCACGCCTCTATCTATTCCGGTTGTTGTTCCGCGGAACGTCGTCGACGTAAATCGCATCCTGGCGCAAAATGCGTCTCTAGGCGACTTAAAGAGCCGCACTGGCGGCAGTTGCCACGTTAACCACGAAACGAACGTAACTCGACGAGCCGCGCGTTAATTCGCTTAATCGTAACGTCGGCGTGATTACTTTCGACGCACGGTGCCATCGGTTCGCCTAACGAGAATGCATAACGCGGTAGGTGCGCGGCACCGCGTATCGGAGGGGTGGTCGCTGTGCGGCACGATTAAAATCAAATCGGGATACCAGGAAACGTTGTCGCGGTTCCTCTCGAGCTGCAGAGTGCACTTGCCTAATTGAATCGTCAGAATTCGGGAGCGCAACAGCTTACGCTCGTTCGCGCCGCACACCGCCCCACTCCGCTTCCCTCGCTCGTTCTCGCCCACCCTTCTCCCCCATCCTTCTTCGCCGAAATTCTTGCAACCCCGTTTGCCGAACCGCCGCGTTCTCCGTCTTCTCTCAACGGACGATCGAGAATCTCCCTCCGAGGCTGGCGCATCGCGAAATCTTTCCCAGTCTCCTTCTCCTTATCTCGCGTTTCACCCTCACCCCCCTCGCCCGTTCCGTAGCTGTCTGCTCCACCGCGTCCATGTTCCGTCCATCCTCGTCGGTTTCACGCGACTCGCGTACTTAGACGAGCCGCATAAAGTGCCGGTACAAATTCTGTTTTAGCAGCGGGTCGAACACGGCCGACCGTTCGGCTCTCCCGGCACTTCTCGGTCAATGAACCGCGGGTTGCTGGCGAACCCAGTTGGTCCACTCGCATCCCCCACCCAGCTTCTACGGATTACCCCCTCCCCTCTC